TAAAACCGACAGGAAATATAAGAAATTTGAAAGGATCAACCAAACACATAAAAGTTTGAATTAAATGAAATCTTCAGAAAAATAGTTGATTCTGGTAAATTGGGAAAAAATATTTCAGATTTCAGACCACCCTGAATACACTAGGGATACACATGGCCTTCAAAATCTGCTCATATTAGAAATATTAAAATTTTCACTCTTTAGGAAACCCAGGAAAGTTTTTCCTGATACATATTTTTAATGAATATATAAAGTACTGCCCTGTGTATTGCAAGTTGATGATACTAATCATTCTTAGGACAGGTGTTTTGCAGGGATCTTTCAGTAGCAGAGATGGGTAAAGCAGAATTATAAAACAGAATTCATCAAGTTATATTTTATTGCAAAGGAATAAAAGAGGCTCTAAATCTGACTAGATGAATAAATGCTTTTTAAAAATGATACCTTCAAAAAGACTAGACAACTTTAAGTAGTAGTATAGTTTGTTGCTCATCAAACTTCCTCTGCAATTTTTATTTTTCAGTTTCAGATAAGAAAATGAGGCTTTCGGTGAGGACTTGTAGAGGTTATGCTTTTTACTCTTCTGCCTCTAGAACAGTCTGAGAGTGAGTGGGTAAACTCCCTCTCATTCTCTAGGCAGAAATAAAATTGCTGATCTTTTATAGAAAGGTTGCCCTCTAAATGATACTTCCAGACAGGATTGCAAGTTCCATAAATCATGTGCAAAAGTGTGAACTCCTCCTCCAGATGCTAGAACTATCTTTGCTCGGTTGTGGCAGGTTTTTTTAACTCAACATTTTTCTGAATTTTTATCTTTCTTTCTTTCTTTTTTTTTTTTTTTACTTTAAATACATAAAGAATGTTCATGTGTAAGAGCTACAATTACTGTTTAAAGATTTTTTGTGCCTAAATGGCTAGTAAGCAAAGTGATTTCTATAACTATAAACAAATACTAAAACTTTAAATGAGTCCTGTCTCTAGGCCCGTGTACCACAGAACACTCAGATTCTTATTTTCTGTTTACTTTCTTTTCTCTGTGAATTAAGCAGAATTTTTAAAAATTCTGGGATAAGGAATTGAAATTTCTCTTTCTCCTTTATTGTCTAGTCTTTGACTAGTCTCATGTTTTAGAATCTAAAAAATTGAAATCATTAAGTGTTCAGTTGACTTGGGCTGAAGAATGAACCTAATTGTACATTTTTGCAAGATTTTAAATAAATAACATCTGCTGTCTTAGCCATGGATGATTTAATTTTTTAACACGTGCTTCCAACCTTTAATTTTCTGCAAAGCAGCCACATCAATTATTAATTCATCTATATTTCCTCAAAGCGAGTCAGTCTTAAGATCCTTCATAAATATTTAAGAATACTGCTGCAAAATAAACAAAAACTTCTACTTAACTTTTAATTGCAAGTTTGAGAACCAATGCTTGCAAAAACAACAAAAAGCAAGATAAACATAATAAAAAATCCAGAGAAGTGAAATGCAGACACTGAAAGAATAGGGAGACCAGACTTCTGCCCACATTGTTTTATAATGTGAATCTCATTTACTTACTGCACATTTAACTAATGTATAACAGGATAAATGGACATGGCCAAATTTAACTGAGCCCTGACTCATGATAGCACTTAATTTCTGATAGCTCACTTTTTCTCTTTCTTTCTCCTACGTGCATTGCCACACTTATTACACACTCTTTACCATTAATACTGATCACATTACTGAAAGAATAGATACATGTAAAAGTAGCCTGCATGTAATTAACATAATGAGAGAATGGCTCAAACTCTTCTTTCTTATTACATTAGCAAAGTTTCAGAGATAGATGCTATTATAGATTGAATTGTGTGCCCCCAAAATATATGTTGAAGTCCTAGCCTGGTACCTAGCACAGGTTTAGGGGTCAAATTTCTCCTCTTAGACTATATCCATGTAATACCTGCCTCCTTCCTATTATTTGGAAACAAGGTCTTTGCAGATGTAATCAAGTTAAGATGAGGTCATACTGAATTAGAGTGAACCCTAATCTAATATACTGGTGACCTTATAAGAAGAGGAGAAAAGCCACACAGAGACCCACAGGGAGAATGGCATATGACAATGGAGGCAGGGATTGGAGTGATGCATCTATAAGCCAAGGAATGTCAAGGATTTCAGGAAACATCAGAAGCTAAGAGAAAGGCATAGAATAGATTCTTCCCTGGAGCCTTCAGAGAAAGCATGGCCCCACTAGCACCTTGATTAAGACTTCTAGCCTCCAGGACTGTGAGAAAATGAATTTCTATTGTTTTAAGCCACCCAATTTGTGCCACTTTGTTACAGCAGCCCTAGGAAATTCATACAGATGCTATATGCAAATCCATTCTTTTCTTTCTAAAAATTAATGAAACAAAAACATATATACTATGCATATATACCGTTTAATAAATAATTATAAAGCAAATACCCATCTGACAGCCATCCAAGTCGATAAACAGAAAGATATTTCCACATCCATAAGAGGCTCCCAATACTCCTCTTCCTTATCACAGCCTACTTTATTTCTTCACTGCCTAATAATCATTTGGTAACTTTTTTTTATAATTCTATCACCTATGTAATCATATTGTAATCAATATAGTTTAATTTTCCTACTGATAAATCTTTAAATGAGGATATATTTAGGTAAACCAACCTAATGAAAATGTATTTTAGAGCTTCGTGTAAGCAAATTCACAAGTAACTTACTGATAAATATAAATTGAAATCCATACTCTGTAAAATCATATTTTAAATACACATTCTCATTCAATTGATTCACTCATTGAATACTTATTATTAACTCAGAACATATTGGGTGAACCTTATTTTTCAGGCATTTTCCAGATAAGAGATTAAAATTAATGCTAATAATTCCACTTTAACAAAGTATATAATTTAAAGCTAAATTAAATTATTTTAAAATCATTCTTAATTGTTTACATACACATACATGAGAGTTTGTAAGATTTAATAATATTGTTTGTAATATAAAACACTTGATCAATACAATGGACTTTAGCAATTTATAGATTAACTTGGTTGGTTCATATAAAAATGAGTGCATCGTTTCAGAGGTGCTACACATTTTAATTTTTTTTAAGTCACTAGATTTATCTAGATGTGCCTAGTTACTGAACTTGCCCAGTCTATGCATATGAATTCCACTTGACATCTCCACCATGTATATTTATCATTAACAGATGGTATGCAAGTCTTTTTTAAACTTTTGTAAACTGCTTACTATAACATTGACTGAAGTATTATAATGTGCTATATATTAGGAGGAAAAGGGATTGGAGGTAGTTTATTCTGTTTAGTACTAAAATGTTTGTGAATAGGAGTCTGTCAGATGTTTTGGAAGGCACTGGAACACAAGTGTTCTCTGTCTCCAAAAAGCTCATGGTCCCCAGGGGAAAAGAAATAGGGTTGTGGCAAGCATTGTGGGGGGAGGAGGAAGGGAATACTTCTAACCTTTTTTAGGGAGAGGCAAAGATATACAATGTAACCAAAATGTAAAAAAAAAAAAAAACTTTTATCAGGTGGTGGGCAGGTGGGAGAGGGGAGGAGGGGAAGGATATATTCTTACATAATAGGTATGGTGCGCATCACCTGGGGGTTGGATGTACTTGATGTTCTGGAATGGCGGGGTCGGGGGGAGGGTTGGCAGGGGCAATATATGTAACCCTAACAATATTTGTACCCCCATAATATGATAAAATAAAAGGGGAAAAATAAATGGATTGACTAATAGTTATAATGTAATATGATGCATTCTGTAGTTCAGGAAATTTTAAAGTAAATCTAGCCTGGATATGAAAATGATAAACTCTACCTAGAAAGAGATTGTTTTCCATGGGGAATGGCACAGGTAAAGTCATTCTTCTATCTTGAAGGGCATGGGTTCATAGATGGGAAATATCAACATCAAAAGGGAAAGAGTATGGCTTTTATTGGATATTTTTTGATGCCAGGAAAAATATAAATAATATTTATGACAAGATATAAATTATCATATTATTATCTTTGTGCCAACTTTTAATTGGTCTTAGAAAGTTATTAACTTCATGTATTTATTGATAGAATATTATTTAGTTAATAGAAATTGTCAACAATTATGACACTATCATGATTCAGTTGACTTGCTTACTTTACTATCACAGGCATTATTTCTACATTCAAAGCTACTGGTACTGTACATTACAATTATTTGTTTAAAAAATTAGTGAAAAATGTAAGAAAAATTTCACTTAACTTTTAGGGATTACATTGCCCATTTTTTAATACGAGAACAAAATTCAATGTTTTTCGTATGCCTTAGGATAGGCCGATATGTGCTGGAAGCTTTAGTTCAGTTTAATTATCAAATATGTTTCGATTACTCTTTTTAACATTTTATTTTATTTTTAATTGACAAATAATTATATGTATATGTAGGGTATAATGCACTGTTTTGATAAATGTATACATTGTAGAATGATTAAATCAGTCTAATGAGCATATCAATCACCTTAAATCATGTGTTTGTGGTGAGAACATTTAAAATCCTCTTTTTAAGCTATTTAGAAACACAATACGTTATTAACTACCGTCACCACGCTGTACAATGGACCACTAACAGTAGACCTTATGTCACCTATCTAACTGAAACTTTGTACCTATTGACCAATTCTCCTTTCCTCATCCACCTCACACCCCCAGCCATTCTACTCTCTACTTCTATGAATTCAACTTTTTTCCTCAGTTTCTTTATTATTTTTTTGTTTTGTGAGAATACTATCATGGGTTGTAGAAATGTTCCTAGCAGTTTCTTGGAGCTTCAGAAGTTTCCTCAGTTTGTACCAGTTTTCATGCTAATTTTTCAACTTGAAATTCCACACATTAATAGTATAAATTCAGATTTCACAGCTAGAATAGCATAGGCTTAGGGGTTGAATTTGTTGAATTTCTCTTACTAGACTCTATCTATGTGATACCTGCCTCCTCATCCTCTTGTTGACTCTGGTAGAGATAAGTTTCCCTTGTAGTTTCTTTACACTAATGGCTATTTTCAATATCGTTTCACTCAGATGTAGCCTTTCCAGATTTCTGGCTTTTTATGCAAGATCTTACATCTAGCCTTCTCCTTTGCACAAGTCCAAGGTTGTTCTGTTCTGATGTGAGTGGTAAACTTCCTCAGGCCAATATCCAAGTCCCTTTGACCTGTTGCCATGTTCCATGTTCTGTATTCTGACTTTGACACCTCACTTCACTTACAGAGACTTCTGTTATATTTCAAGCTTGACAACATTTTAAATCTTGGTATGCTTTGTAATTCTTGTGTTTTTGTTGTCAAGGGCTGAGAAAGGGGGGAAGGTATATTGGTTTAGATTGTTAAATTACTGGAACTAGAATTAGATTTTTAAGGTGAGAGTGTAAAACAATTTGGGGAGTTTGTCAAGGAAGTCTTTACAGAGTAAATATCTGAAGTAAATACCAAAGGATGATGGTAGAAGGATAGGAATATATATGTTTTTCCTAGAAAGAATGGAGAGTTAGAGAACAAGGCAGAAGAGGGAGCCATGGTGATACATGGACATGTAAGAGCCAGTAGAGGAAGGGGTGTTGCTGAGAGAGGCAGATGGAGCAGCAGGAGAGAAGAGAGAAACAGAAGACTTGGGAAACCGATGTCACAGAAACTGCATCAGGAGGGAATTTCAAGAAATTCTGAGGTATTTAACAATGTTAAGGAGCATAATGGGGAAAAACTCATTGTATTTGGCACGTGATAATTATTTGGCCCTTCTCAGTTGACAGCAAAGTCATCAGGTTGCTCAGCTAAAAATCTTGAAGCCATCTTTGACTTACTACCCTCTCTCACAAGATCAATATCCAATTCATCAGGAAATTCTGTTTGCTTCGTCTTTAAGATACATCTGTACTTTGACTACTTCTCACCACTTCTCATTTAGAATTGCAAACTATCTCCCCCCTTCTCAACAATTCCAATATTGTTTACCCTGCCCTATTATTATTCTATAGGATTTTTTACCTCTAGCATAGAAGACAGTGTCCTCATTTATTACAATGATCACCTACTGTCTGTCTCCTCTCGTTAGAATATGCATTCCATGAGGGCAAGAGTTCTCTGCTGAGTTCCAAGGGCTTGGAGCATCAGTACCTGGAACATAGGAGTGATTCAATAATTGTTGAATGAATAAATTGCAGTTTTGTTGGATGTTTAACTAAAATTTGATCTGAGTTTATAGTTGGAGTTATATATTTTAAGCATATATACCATATTCAATTCTACTATGAATATAAATAATATTTTAGTAAAAATAATTTAATCTCTTATGCTGTTGTAAGAATTCTGTGCTTAAGAATTGTTGCATCCTTCAAATTCTAGAAATTAAAGTCCACACACTACTACCAGAGGCAATTTTCACCTTGTACTCCAACTAAATATTTTAGCCAAACTTTTAAATTATGAGATTAAAAATATTCATAGAAACTAATACTCTATTTAGCATTTCTTCTGCACAAAGTACTTACACAGTAAACAAAGAATTTTCATTTCACAAAAAAATGACTGCACATATTCAAGGATCCATAGTATGTTCTTTAGGAGCCAATCATAGTCCTGAAGAAACAATCTGGAATCCATAATTTTGAATGTTAAAATCCCCCAAATTAAAATCTTGAAAATATAATTCTGAAAAAATATGATAAAACTTATTTAAAATATATTTATATTTTTAAGAGGGGATTTATTTGAGAAACATAAAATCATGACAGAACACTTCATAGGCCACTTTACACTATGAAATAGGCAATAATAACATACACACTTTTGCAAGTATAAACAGGCATACTAATGATAGTTGAATGAGTATAACAGTTATGAGCAGATGAACTGTATGCATAAAGAAATAGGTCAAATCAAAATGTATAAACATATCAGTATGATTGGCAATTATGTGCACTCAGCTTTATAACTTCAATCATCTTAAATATCATGACAGACAACCTTAAGTCTTGACAAGATCAATCCAAAACCACAATTGGGTGCCATGGGTCAGCACTCTGTATGCAATTGCCCAAAGTGCAGAGATCTTTAGAAATTTTATATTTCACAAATGCAGACATACAAAAAGACATTTTTTCATTTATTGAGGAAGTTTCAACATTTTTACATATATGCACAATGCTTACACACAAAGTCAACATTGTGATAATACACTTTTATGGGGTCAGATTTATGCAAAAGTACACAAAATGAATTAGAATTTTTTCAAAGTCTCTAACAGTTTACATCTCCAGTATTGGAAATGATGTGAAGATGAAGTACATAGCATAGAGAATTGGCACTGTTTGTGAAGAGGCAAAAGTAATATACAATTGAATAATTTGGCTTGGGAGATTTCTTATACTTTTCACCTGTGTTTTTACTTCTATGATTTTTAAATCTCCTGCACCTGTATTTGGAGAGTGGTCATGGTTTACAAATATTGTAAGTTTACGCTGTCCACTTGAAAGTCTGGTTATTGCTTGGCCATTGTAATTAAGTGTTTTTCTGCTTTTATAGCACCAACAATAATTAGCTTTTAAACTTTTATCTTTCACCATTAAGTAGCCTCGTACACTTAACTTATCATAGCCTTCTTGCGAGGGAACAATTTCACAGATCTCTTTCATTGTGTTGTAAGGACTGCAGCAAAAAGCAATGATATTCACCTTCCCCAATACCAAATCAATATAAGTTAGGGTTCTCCAGAGAAACAGAACCAATTAACTATGTATATACAAGAGGATATTTAGTAGAAGAATTAGCTCACATCATTCTGGGGGCTGAGAAGACCCAGGACAAGCTTCTGCAAGCTGGAGACCCTTGGATGCCAGAAATGTGGCTCAGTCCAAGTCTGAAGGCTTCAGATCTGAGGAAGCTGATGGTATAACTCTCAGTCCAAGGCTAAAAGCTTCAGGACCCAGGAGACCACTGGTGTAATTCCTAGAGTAAAAGGCTGGCAAGCCTGGAGTTCTGATGTCTGTCCAAGGCAGCAGAGGAGAAAGTCTGTCGCAGCTCTCAAAGAGGCCAGTTTGCCTTCTGTATTTGTTCTCTCCAAGCCCCTGTCTTGATTGGATGGTGCCCTCCAACATTAAGAGCAGATCTTTCCCACCTAGTTCACTCAGATTTACACACTAATCTCCTCCAAAACACCATCTCAGACACACTCATAATAATGCTATACCAGGTTTCAAAGTATTCCTTAATCCAATCAAGTTGACATCTAAAATTAAGTCTACAAGTCTACCTCTTGTCAGCTCGGCAACCATAAACATCTCCATAAACCTTACTTAGTTCCCAAATAAAGACAATACCAATGTAATGGTTCAACCCAACATGATGCAACTATCCTGTGATTGTGATTTGTATGATTTTAGATGTTAGAGGCTTTAGAATTTAAGGATTTAGACCTAAGGATTTTCGATCTTTTGGGATTTCAACATTTGGGATTATGGATGTGAGATTGTGTCTCTCAGGATTGTGATCTAAACCCCATTTGGGCAAGATTATTTAACATACATTCTCATAAGTATGTATATGTTTAAATAACAAGGTTCTCACATGAATATACAACTTTTCATTGATGAAAAATAAATTGATTCCATTATATTAGCAATTCATATAAAATTTCTTTGTCGTAAAATATTGAAAATATTATCTTTTTCCTGATGAGAGTGTCTAGCCTCTCATTACTGGGAGTTAAAAAATTGATCTCATAATTTCTTTCTTCCCTTTTTTCCTCCGTCCATCACTTCTTTGTTCTTTAGTTTTGCTCTTATGTACTCCCATATTCAGTCCACTGAGTAGTCAATGCCTACTCTAGAAATGAGCAAATAAAATGACAATAAACTAATATGCTTAACTTGTGCTGCAGAGTATACTACACCCTTTAGTTCATCATTATTTTCTACATCGAAATTGTATTTCTTCATTGACTATTGCTTTGAGCTCCTACCAAGTGGTATAATTCTCAACTCTCTGTCTTACACACCTCCTTCTTACACATTTAGAAACTGAGCCCATACCCATTTTCTTTTTTCTTTTTTCGGGTGCAAAGGAATTTATTGGTCTGATTTATTTATTTATTTGTTTGTTTTTATTTCAGAGTATTATGGGGTTACAATTGCTTTGGTTACCTTATGTAAATTGCCTTTGCACTGCCCCAAAAGCATGCCCATCCCCCAGACAGTGTACACTGCATCCGTTAGGTGTGGATGTACCCATCCCATCCTCCTCTCTCCCACCTGTCCGACACCTGATGAATGTTACTTCCCATATGTGCACATTATTGTTCATCAATTAGTACCAACTTAATGGTGAGTACATGCGGTTTTGTTTTTCCATTCTTGTGATACTTCACTTAGAAGAATGGGCTCCAGCTCCATCCAGGTTGTTACAAAATATACTAGACCACCATTTTTTATGACTGAGTGGTGTTCCATGGTATACATATATTATGTTTTATTAATCCACACATGTACTGATGGGCATTTGGGTTGATTCCACGTCTTTGTGATTGTGAATTGTATTGCAGTAAACATTCAAATGCATATGTCTTAATTATAGAATGTATTTTTTTCTTTTGGGTAGATACCCAATAGTGGGATTTCTGGATCCATAGGTAGTTAGTTCTACTTTTAGTTCTTTGAGGTATCTCCATACTACTACTGTCCATAGAGGTTGTACTAGTTTGCAGTCTCATCAGCAGTGTATGAGTGTTCCTATCTCTCCACATCCATGCCAACATTTATTGTTTTGGGACTTTTGGGTAAAAGCTGTTCTCACTGAAGTTAAGTAATATCTCATTGTGGTTTAGATTTGCATTTCCCTAATGATTAGAGATGTTGAACATTTTTTTATGTTTGTTGGCCATTAGTCTGTCTTCTTTTAAAAAATTTCTGTTCATATTCTTTGCCCACTTTTTGATGGAGTTGCTTGATTTTTTTCTTGCTAATTTTCCCAAGTTCCATATAGATTCTAGTTATCAGCCCTTTATTGGATGTATAGTGTGCAAATATTTTATCTCATTCTGTATTCGCTCAAGTGATAGTTTCTTTTGCTGTGAAGAAGCTTTTTAATTTTGATCAGGTCCCATTTATTTATTTTTGTTGTTCCTGTGATTGCTTGTGGAATCTTCATAAATTCTTTGTCTATGCCAATGTCTATAAGAGTTTTTCCAACATTCTCTTCTAGAATTCTTATGGTTTCATGCCTTAAGTTTAATTCTGTTATCCATCGTGAGTTGATTTTTGTGAGAGGGGAGAGGTGTGGATCATGCTTCAGTCTTCTACATGTGGCTATTCAATTTTTCCAGCATGATTTATTGAATAGGAATTCTTTTCCCTAGTGTATGTTTTTGTCTGCTTTGTCAAAGATCAGTTAGCAATATGAGAATAGCTTTATATTTGAGTTCTCAGTCCTGTTCCATTGGTTTGTGTCTCTGTTCTTATGCCATTTCTGTTCTGTTTTAGTTATGATCTGCTTGTAGCATAGATTGAAGTCTGGTGTATTTATGCCTCCAAATTTGTTCTTTTTGCTCAAAGCTGCTTTAACTATACAAGGTCTTCTCTGGTTCCATATGAAATGTAGAATTATTTTTTTAGATCTGCAAAAAATAATGGTATTTTAATGGGGATTGCATTGAATCTGTAGATCACTTTGAGT